GATACACCTGAATTAAAAAGAACAACACTACGTTTCCTGGTTGAAGACAAACTAGCGAATTTATCAGATGCACAACCACCATCAGTGATGACTGTGGAAGGAGTCACAGAATCTAGTGGCCCGGACAGTTTCCAAGCAAAATGGCTGCTGCCGACTTTTCCAGCGGTGGTGCCAGCCGCGGGCAGCCAAGTTCGAGATGGAATAGACGACCGGCATGGAACAACTACAATGGGCGTCAAGCCAAATGTATATATTGCAAGAGGCTTGACAGGGATGCCAGGAGATGCGGTCATAACCAGTCCCGTAAACCAGGTAAGCGGCGTCTTTGCTATTTATCTTCGTATGTTAATCATGTCAATCCGATTACGTTTAGCGGTAGAGTGCAAAACGTTGAGATAGAAATACCACTAGACACAGGAGCCTCGGTATCTGTTATCAAGGAAGAGCTCTTGACGAAAATTAACCATAAGACTCAACAAAATCGATGTCTTTCTACGTTATTCATAGCAAGTGGTGATCCGCTGAAAGTGTGTTCTAAGGCGTGGTTTGACATCACGATAGAAAAACATCAGTTTCGTCATGAATTCTTAGTTTGTCCAGCATTAACATGGGACATGATTCTCGCGTTGATTTCATGTTAAAACACCAAGTCTCTATATTCATGGATAGATCGGAAGCATAAATTGGTGAGGCTACAGTACACCTGCACCACTATGAAATGACAACTAAATCTAAAGCCCATGTGGGGATTTTAGAACTAGTGCGTTAGATACATAGCAATTAAGTAATCTCAGAGAATGATCGTTGCGCAACGATTGCTGTGCTCCAGCAGTTTAGTTCTGTGTTTGAAGGTGTTTCCGGAAATAGAAAAACTACATTACAATACCCTATCTCCACAGGTGACCATATGCCACTTCGACAGCCACATCTCAAGAGACCAGTGCACTACCAAATGCAACTAGATGCATTGATAAAACATAGGTTGGACAATAATATCATGGTTCTGTAGTAATACTCTCACCAAGAGAACGCAATTGGTGTAATGAAAAATTATTATCATAACTAATTATACCAGGGATTGTTTTACCGTACTTGTTTGTTTAACTGTACCAAAATGTGCATGTTTTTCCTTTGTGACCTTGCGCGGGTTCGGTTAAGCTCAGCAACCGCACTTGTAACCTGGCTCGATCTCGGTATTCTTTCGATACTACGAGGTCGCCAACAAATACAACTCGAATACAGCCATCAACTGCCTTCTGATATTTGACTTACGGGGATATTATCGGTTAACTGGCACGTAGTCATCCTGTAGTGCTGATCATAGTCAACCGCGACTCGACACCACACTACAACTGGTGAACCAAATCTAAGAATAAGTCTCAACCTCTGGTCAAATCTTCCAAAGAAGCCGATTGCGGTGAGTCTATTACTTATCTATCCACGTCTGTTGCACATTGCCATATTGATATTTTTCAATATATAATATTCTGGTAACAACTTGAGATAACGGATAACGATAAGAATAGTATTAATATAATAGACTCCGATGTACGTGTACTGAATCTTATGTATCGTTCATCCGACGATATGTTCCACGCTTTATTCGAGAAATTTCCCCAAATATCTATTCTCACTGACCCGGCTGCTTGGTACGGAACGCATACTCACTAGCGCTTATCACCCAGCATCAAATGGTTTAGTTGAACGATTTAGTCGCCAACTTAAAAGTGCTCTTCGGGCACACGAAAACAACAGTTGGTACGAAACCTTACCGCTCGTCATCTTAGGTATCAGAACGAGCTTAAAGGTAGATACTCAGTGTTCGCCATTGAACTTGTATACGGCACGACATTGCGTCTGCCTGGGGAATTTTTCACAACACGGAGCAGTAGCGATTTCAGTGAATCAGACTACGCCCGTTGACTGTCAGAATTTATGCTCACACCGGAGGCAGTGTTCGCGAACACTCGAATACAACATCGACAGGTCGCTCTCCCTCGAGAGTTGTATACCTGTTCATACGAGTAAATACAGTACGCAAACCTCTGCAACAGCCTTACGAAGGACCTTTTCGCGTGATTTCTCGTCACGAAAAGACCTTCAAGGTCGGTCGACATGGCCGCGTCAAGATCGTCAGCATTGATCGTCTCAAACCAGCACACGTCGATGACAGTGCCCTATATGAATTTCAAGTGATGCCTTTTGGTTTAACAAGTGCTCTAGCTACTTTCCAAAGACTAATGCAAATAGTTTAACAAGACATAGTACCCCACAAATGCTTAACATATATTGACAACATTATTGTGTATGGTAGCACATCCGAACAACACAATACTAATCTGAAAGCAGTTCAGCGCCTTAAACAACACAATTTAAAAGTAAAACCGTCCAAATGTCGCCTGCTGCAGAAAGGAGTAATCTTCCTGGGACATCGTATCACTGCAGATGGGGTAGGCACAGATAAAGAAAAGACACATGCGATTTTTAATTGGCCGCAACCAAAATCATCCGAAGACGTTCGTAGCTTCCTTGTGCTAGCTTCTTATTACAGACGCTTTGTTCGCGACTTCACATCACTAGCAACACCTTTGCATCGTTTAACACATAGGACGAAAATTTTTATGAACCAGCAAGTGTCAACAGGCGGACACCGAAAAGACATGTATGATCGTCAGGTGCGAGGACCGATGTATGCAGTCGGAGATCGCGTCTGGCTACGCCGCCCCATGACATCGTTAGGGGGTTGCAGTAAATTCCACCAGCCCTGGCAAGGTCCTTTCGAAATTGTACCCATCCGATCCCCCACTACATTTGTATTGCGTAACATACAACGACCTGATAACGGTACACTACAACCAAATAAAACCAGATTGAATGACAATGCCCTTCGATGCTCAGTTCGCCGGCCACTAGATTTTATGAAGTACCATCAGAAGGAGAAACAGCATACCCATGCCCAAGACCAGGCACTGAGGACAGTGCCTCATTAGGGAGGGGGCGATGTAACGGGGTTTAAATCATCATGTATGGTGTTGTTAATAGATTCTGTTGTTCTTTCTATTACAGGGCAACCAAGAATAAATGCTTTAGAAGAAGAAGAGCAAGCTCTGCGTGCACTGGACTTACAGGATGACTCATAAGACTGTTCTGTAAACTAGATCTCCCTTCTGTACATAACCCGCGAATTTTCAAATAAACGACTGGTAGTTCCCATTCCGTGTTCTCTCTCTGGTGTGAAGTGCTCGGTTAACATTGTGTGTGTTGTGGTTTTAGGTCTTCCCGCCTTTCAGTGACTGCTGATTACATGTGTTACAATGGTTATCGACCAGTTTGACAGGTTGACCTTGAAGGGATCGGTAACCTACAACAATGGATGATACCACTGAAGCATTACCTCGACCAATCACATTGTTCATAGTCCCTGTGTTTGCGTTGTGATGTGGTATGTTTCATTTATCAAACCGTTTAATGCTGTCGATATACTACATGATATACAAACGTATACTGCTGTATATCTGAAAAAAGAAATGTTGCTAATAGCATAACTATCTGTTTTTAAATGCTGAATCTAGTTGTTTCGGCCGTAATTGCATACTCTAGCCCTCCTGAGGACGTATATTTAGGCGGGAAGTAGACAATTCGGCACACATTTAGGCGAAAAGTAGACAATTTAGAGTACATATTAGGCGAAAAGTAGATAATTCAGCAACATAGATAGGAAAATCCGTGTTATTTCCCCCGGAAAGGCAAAAAAGCAGACATTTTGGCGCGTTTCCTCTTTATTCTCTAACGCATTTTCCCCCTTATTTCTCCTTTATTGGTTGTTCGGGTCATCGAGTTCTTTGAAATAAATATTCAGATTTGTGTAGTAAAGACAGAAGGCCTATGGCCCATGTTATTCCTTTTCTAGTATGCTTCTGTGTCTCTTAGATGAGTCATTTGGAGATGTAGACACCACTGCTTCGGGTAACAGATCCCACGAATCGATGACTCGGTGTGAAAACCTGTATGCCACTGGTATTTTGTTCGTTCTTGGCTTTTCTATTCGTTTATTATGTCCTTTGAGTTGTCTCGAACTAGTGAGAAGAATAAGATGGCTGCATGGTCACCCCTTCCTAGAGGTGGGCGTAAAGTTACATCGTCACCATGTGTGAACATTAGATCCAAGAGACGGAAAGCTTCATAAGTCAGGTCCAGTAGATCTCTAATGTGTTGAGATTAGGCTAGGGCAATTGTGGTTTAGAACAATTTGCCATCAAATTATGTTGTTGATGACCCTACTTCTAAGTTTCCCCAGTTACACTGTTTTGATCAAATCATCAACAAACTATTGCTTGCTTTAGGATTTGTAAGAATAAACATCATATATGTGACATTTGTTCTGCAGTCCTTTAGTGAGAAATGGACGCGGACTCGTTTCACCCTTTCTTAATAACCATAATATTACACCAAGACGTGTAACCATCAGATGACGTTCACTTACGTCTACAGCATTCCCAGTCCCATACGAAATTTACGCTTTATCGTTTTACCTCTAATTGGACCATGTTTACCTACAACTTTTCACCGTTTTGTGAATCGTTTTTCAGCTTTATACATTTTGAATAAAATGCAATCAATGAGACGACTGAAGTTCTTTTTGCCATATTGTATCATAACATTGGGGAGTGCGTTTCCTTTTGGATATCACAGTGGAGTGATAAATGCACCTGCTGACGTAAGTTACTGTTTAATAATAAACAGAAAACTTTATTTAGCTGATCAAAAGCTTCATAAATACTACTCTGGTTGCTAGGTCAGTCACATGTAATGAACGTTGCATCGACTTGATATGGTCACTCTGTGTTACGTCCTTCCTCCTTGGGGGATTTTTTGGAGGCTTGATTGGTGGCGTTTTGGCTAACAAGTTGGGCCGGTAAGTTGTTTTTATTCTACAGTTTACTGTCAGGAAAAAATCACTATTTCTGCTTTCTATCCCAACTGTAATTGGGTCACTCCTGATGATGTTTTCGAAAATGGCACAATCTTTCGAAATGATTATTGTTGGGAGATTTACAATTGGGATAGCTTGTGGTAATTCTATAATTTATGAAATATTTCAAAAGGCGCTCATACAGTCGTTGGGCCTATGTTTTTGTCAGAAATAGCTCCTGTCAATTTCCGTGGAGCTGCGGGAACTTTCAATCAGTTTGTGCTTGTTTTCGCTATATTGTTGTCACAAGTGCTTGGTCTGCCTGAAGTGATGGGGACAACTGAATTATGGCCATATCTACTTGGTATGATAATAAAAATGCTCATATTTTGAAAGCTTTATGTACCGTTTCCAGTGTCATACATATTTTACTTCTGTCCACTTGTCCTGAAAGTCCTACTTACTTATACATTATTAAAGGTGATCGTCGAAGGTCAGAAAATGGTAATGTACTATATATTTTATCATTCACTTTACATGTATAGCATTGGTTTACCTTCGAGGGCAAGATTGCGATGTACATGCTGAATTAGAACTACTAAAAATGGAGACACAACAGTCATCTACACACAAATCAAATTTTTGCGACCTACTACGTATTCCATACTTGCGATGGGGACTGATTGTAGCTTTGGTACTACATATTGGCCAACAGTTTTCCGGTATAAATGGAGTAAGTAACTTTGAATTCCAGGTGTCACTTTTCCTAACAACCCTTATATTTCCTGAATTGTTTGTTGTCATGTCCACTAGCTTTATAACAAGAAAATAATTCAAAGATTATCCGTTGTTGCTTTTTGATAAGCTTTTTTTAAATTTTACAAACCTCTTTCACTTCTGTGCAATTATGAAAGGTACCTAGGACCGTTATTTTAGTCAAAGGATCTCCGATTCAGTTTCCATTCATTTATTTGTAGCTAATCAAGTTAAAAAACAAGTGTATAATTAACTTAACTCCGTCTAAGTGGTAGCGTTCACAAGTCAAAAGCAGATTATTTGCCTTAAGCATTAGGTGCTTTGTGCTAGAATGTCTTTGTGTTTTCAGAAAAGGTAGGTGATCTCTCAAAGTTTGGGGATTCTTCCTTCACAGCACTGGTTAATCAAATCTTGATTTTAAAGTATGAATATATGTGTTTATCACACTAATGTGGTTTTTAAGTTGTTTTCAACTTTGTTTCTATAATTTTCTAATTCCAGCCATGGTTGTGTGTGTAAACTGAGTTTTCTAACCTTTTATTTAGCCTACGATTATCTCCAATTTTTCACTATCTCGATTTCTTCTATTCGTTAATTTTTCGTCCTCACTAAGTTGTTCCGTTATACTTCACTTTCTTTATAATATGAATGTTCGAAATTTTTGAAATTCTTACACTTTTCTGTCACTTGTACCTCTTAAATTACTATGTAGTTAGGTCGAAGTTCATGAAATTCATTGCTCAGTAATTGAGAGTCAAGCTACTAAATTACCTAGCTAAAACTTCGAACCTGCAAAATTTCAAGCTTAGAAATATTGGTCAGTCAGTCAGTCAGCTACAACGTAGGACCAGGCACATATATGCATCGGTCCAAGTTGCCATACCTCATTAACACAAGATGGACACCGGATTCATAAAAGTAGTTAATTCATAGGTGGTAATATATAAAAGAAAGATTGCAATCAGGATCATAGTACAGGAAAAAAGAATTAGTTCGTAGAAAGAATGACATGAAGCAGACATTTTGGCGCGTTTCCTTTTTATTTTCTAACGCATTTTTCCCCTTATTTCTCCTTTATTGGTTGCTCGGGTCATCGAGTTCTTTGAGGGAAGACAGAGAGTGTATACACCGACGCCATTATGATCAATTCTGAGCCATGTCACCAAGAGTCTCCAACCATCGGTTACGAAAGTCACGCGGACCCCAACCAAGTAGTCTGCATCTACCAACAAGGCTCAGAGTAGAGGTTAGTGTCTTCAAGCACTGGTGCCACGTTTTGGTTTGGCCACCCCTAATTCTCTTCCAACCATCTCTAACACCCGTTAGCATTGCACGACGTGGTAATCGGTGTTCAGGCATACGTAACACGTGGCCCAACCATCTCAGTCGATGAAGATTAACAACCTCATCAACTGATTTACCATCATTACCTAATACCCTGCGTCTAACCTCACTATTACTTAACCGGTGATCGCAGCAGACTCCAGCAATATTTCGAAGGCATCTGTGGTCAAATACTAGTAGCTTACGAGTATTTTCTACTCTTAAAGGCCATGTTTCGCTACCGTAAAGTAAAAGAGAACGGACTGCCGCGCAGTATACTCGTCCTTTTATTGATAGACGGATATCTCGCCTTCGCCAAAGGTGACGTAAGTTGGCAAAAGTCAAGCGAGCTTTTCGAATCCGTGCTGAGATTTCGTCAGACACCAACCCATTAGGACTGATCAAACTTCCAAGATAAGTGAAGTTGTCAACGCGTCCGACTACTACGCAGACCAGTCCTGAAGCAGCAGCTTGCATTTAGAGGGAGAGAAGCGCATTCCAAACTTTCTGGCATTGTTGCTGAGTGCTACCAGAAGACTCTGCATTTTATCAGCGTCTTCATCAAACAGGATTATGTCATCTGCGTATTCTAAGTCGATAATTGGACCTCCTGGAAGGAGATCATTACCCGAGACTTCAGTCGACGAGACTGTTATTTCCATCAATAGGTCTATGATGAAGTTAAACAAAAATGGAGAAAGTGGACAGCCTTGCCAGACACCACTTGAGTTTGCAAAAGCAGATGACAGTTCGCCATAAGCTCTTATTCGACTGGTAGTGTTCGAGTTAAGAGCCTTCACAAGGTTTTTGTACTTCTGAGGTACGCCTTTCAATGACAGACACTGCCACAGAATCTCGCGGTCTACAGAGTCAAATGCTGCTTTTAAGTCAAGAAAGACCACCATTGTCGGACGCCGATAAGTATGCCTGTGTTCTAGAACCTGACGAATGGTGAATATGTGGTCGATGCAGCCACGACCAGGTCTGAAGCCAGCTTGATTTTCTCGTGTTTGCAGTTCACGAGTCTTAGTTAGGCGTCTGATAATTATTGAGGCTAGTATTTTAGATACTATATTAGTTAAACTAATCCCTCTATGGTTGTCACAGGATGATTTTAACCCTCTCTTATATATCGGGACGATAAGTGATTGTGACCATTCAGATGGAATAACGTTTAACTCCGAGATCTTAGCTAAAATATCAGTCAACCTAATCGCTAAAATTGGACCACCATCCTTAAAGCCCTCTGGAGACAATCCATCTGGACCAGCTACCCTTCCTCGTTTCAGATTAACTATTGCCTTTTGCACTTCTGCTAGAGCTGGGGGACCTACTTCAATGTTCCATTCACACTATGTGAGAATAGAGTAGTTGTAGAGTCGCTAAAGGCCAGCTGAACTGTTCTCTAAAATGTTCCGCTCATCGTTCTAAACGTCTGGACTGGGAGTAGATGAAAGTGTCGTCTTTTTCCGAAATAGTCTGACTTACACTTGACTTATTAATTCCAGTTTCTTTCATTAGTCTGTAGAGCTGTCTTGTATTCCCTATAGCCGCCTTCTTCATCATATCTTTTGCTTTCGTTGCCCACCTCTGCTCATGGTCGTTCCTTAGACTTTTGCTTAATCTAGATCTGTTTTGCTTTCGCTCTTCATCGTGTTCAGAGCCTGATGGGATGAGTTTACGAGAATCCATCAGTGAAATAGACTTGAAAGAAATCCATTGGTGTTTTGTAACCCTGTGGTTCAAATTACTAATAGATGCCACTGCTGTTTACACAGCTGCTTGTATATCTTTCCAAGCAACATCTGGGTCAACCTCGTTTTCAGAACTACTGAAGGGTGACCTCAGTTGTTCCTGGAACAGACTTTTGGTTTTCTCGCTACTCAATTCAGTTCTAATGGCTCATTTTAGTGTGACTTTTTTGCGTCCAATGAGGCGCAAGCAGATGCGTGCCCGTATTATGGCGTGGTCGGAGTCCAAGCTGGTACTCCAGAATGAGCGACGATCTTCTACCGACCCTCTCCAACGATGACTGATGGCAATATGGTCTATTTGAGTCCATCGTTGGTTTGGTGTAGGGGGTCGCCATGTTAGACGATGTCTCTCCTTATGCTTAAAATTTGTGTTTGCTAAAAATAAACGATTGTCTGAGCACAGTTGCAGCAGACGATCACCATTATCTGTTCGCTGTGCCGGTGTGCTAAAATACCCACCTAAATGCCTTTCTATTTGGTTTAAACTACCTATCTGGGCATTAAAGTCACCTTCTACGAGTACTATGTCTGGACGTTTAGCTTTCTGAAGAAGTTCAGATAGCTTTCTGTAAAATTCATCTTTCATTTCATCTGAGCTGCAGTCGGTGGGAGCGTAGACAGAAACGACAAAAAGGCAACAACGTGTGTCCTTATCCTTCCGAGTTCTTACGGAGCCGTTTAGCCGAACAGCGCATAGACGACTATTGACGGGGATCCACTCTAACAGTGCTTGTTCCGCCCTCATGCTTAGTGCTATCCCTACTCCTGCCAGTCTACGAGAGCTGGCCATCGGGTCATCAGATACACGGAGGGTGTATCTCGTTGGCTCTCTGTTTTGCCGACGTGAGGTCAAGTGAATGACCACACTGGGATCCTGTATGCGTGTTCCGGAGACACAGCATACATCAATGGTACGAGATTCTAGGGTTTTAGCCAAGGAAACCTGCTGACCAATTTGACATAGGGTGCGTACATTGAAGGCTCCAATGTGTAGTGTGGAGCGAGGTTTCAGTAGACCTGGGACAGTGTTTTGAGCACTAGAATCGTTGGCCATGGTAACACTTGAGGGGGAAGCCGAAAGAGGAAGTTTAGAGGTGAAAGTTGATGTAGGGGGGACAATAAGAATTTAAGAGGGAGGTTGATTATGAATACAGTGATCTTTAGTGCTGTTAGAGGTATGAGGGCGGTTATCACTTCCCGGTTGCCCGCACCATGGAAGGGTTCTTCTGGAGGTACCTGAAAAGGAAATTGGATTAGAGGTGGTCTTAGTGACCTGAGAGCGTGACCGCAGTGCCCAAGGGACAACTGCTTGAGGTCGGTCACACACGACCTTTTTATGGTTAATTTTTGTGTTAGCTCCGTACTTCTTAAGACCTTACCACCGGAGACGGATATCTGTGGGATAAGGCGAGGTGTGCATTTTTAGGGTCGACCTTTTTCTAACCCCACCCCTCCTTGTGGGAAGGCAGCATCGCTGTCATGCTGGTTGTCTGAAGGAAACACCTTACTGCTGTCATACCTCTGTACAGTCAGCGGTACGACTTCGCCTTCGAACCTTGTGTTTGTTGCTTTTAGTCTTACCGCTCTTCAACCGACCTGTCTGACATGGTAGGACCTTGAGGAACGGTTGTTCTAGCCAGTATAGCTCGGTTGCTTCATCACGATAGGCAAGCCCGACCACCACGTCAAGGTAGCAACAACGGTCGGGCAGAAATATTGGTAACGTGGACACATTCCCACCGCAATATATATTTAGTCTTCTAATGTGCCTTACTTATTCTCAGCGCTTAAGAATAAACAAAACGAGGTACCGTATGCTGATACATATATGGATAATAGTTTTGGAAGCTTAAGGTAGTCGAGAATTATCGAATTTGCGTCCCGGCAGTTTAGTCATTCATTTCTCAGAGATTGAGTTGTAGGCCTTACCAATACATTGATTTGTAGGTTATATAATAAAACTTTAAAAAGTTCACGTGATCTGCAATCTAGTAGCGGTAAAGTTTCATATAATTATCACGTATGCATTCAGAATGGCAACTAGAAAAACTACTCATGCTTTAAAGCTCATTCTCGCAAATCATGCTCAAAACTATTCGTTTATTTTTATTTTGCACTGCGTCACTTGTCTATTCCTATTTTTCCATTTTGCGTATTCCATCTGGATGCTTGAATGCGCAGGTCAAGGGTCTATGTACAAGGGAGTGTCGTTCAGGTGGCTAATGCAAACTTGTATGTTACAGGCCAGATAACGATGACCGTCTATTGCAACTTTGCGCAGACTACAACCCGTTTCTGGCTAACAATCACTGCCGATGTGCTGCTTAGCGTCCTCCCTCTTCATCTCACCCTGAAATCATATTGTTCACTCTTTCAACTCATTCGAATCACTGGCAGCAAGAAGTCTTGTATGAGTTAAACAATGTGTTAATCTCATGAGATGTCAATCAATGACGTCTACCGACGTCTTGGACGATGGGCAGAGTTTTTCGAGGAGCATTTCAACTTGTATGCTGCCCCGGTTACATCGATCAAACTGTCCTGCTCTTCCTGGTCTTTGACGACTGATCCACCTGACGAGGCAGAAGTACGCATGGAATTTCAACTCTTGGAGCGCCACAAATCACCAGACCCAGATGACTTATCTTCGGTCCTTCTTAAAGATGGTGGCGACCTGGTTAAGGAAATGGCTTAGTCGTTTACAGACGTCCTGTGGTTAGATAGTGTTCCAACATCGTTGAATGAGCCGATAGTTGTCCGTATCCTTAAAAAAAGTTCACGTTACCTATGCAACAACTATCAAGGAATAACTCTGTCTCCGATTGCATCTGAATTATTGGCTTCAGTCATGTTTTGCAGATTGCTCAAAACCTGGAACCGATTGACCGATTGAGGAGGAGGCTGGTTTTCGTTCTAATCGGGGATTTATTCGTCATATCCTCAACCTCCGTCAAATGTTAGAACCCCTCCATGCTTATTGCATACCAACAATCAATATGTTTCTTGACGTCAGGGTCACCCTCGATTTGCTGAACAGGACTGTTTTCTGGGATCTTCCGTTGAAGGGTGTGTCTGAGAAGTTTATGAACATCGTAAAGGCCTTGTGTACAAACACTTCAGGTAGAGTGAGAGCATACAGCCACCTCTCTCTATCGTTTCATTCAGCTAATGGAATTAGGCAGGGTTGCTCAGTCTCACATTTCCTCCCCTATTTTACCATTGATGACGTTCTGGAAACAGTTCTGATAGATGTAGGTAATGGTGGTGTAGATCTTTTACCCGGAGAAAGACTTTTCGCTATGAATTATGCGGATGATATTGTCCTACTGTGCTATAATACCCAAGCCAAGCAATCTGTACTTAATCAGTTGACAATCAGTATCCGTAGGTATGGCTGTGCTTTACACCTTCCAAGTGCAAAGTACTTTTACAAGACTGGCAGGACCCTGAATCTTCACTCACTCTTGGTACTGCGCAGATAAAAGTAGTCGAGAGATTTGTGTATTTGGGTAGCTGTGTAAGTGCTGGTGGTGACATGAGTGATGAGATCAATTCATGTTTAATCAAAACCAGAGCGACTTATGCCATTCTGGGCCATCTCTTGCGCCTTCATGTTGTTAGTCTGGCCGTAAAAGGTCGGATCTATAATTCGTCGATAAGAGCAGTTTCACTCTATGCTTCTGAAACCTGGCCTCTCCGAAAGTTGAGTATGTTAAGCAACTCTCTGTGTTTGATCATCTTTGTTTCCGACGGATTGCCGACATTCAGTGACAACACTAAGTGCAGAGGTTTGGCAATGTGTGTTAGGGCATAGTAACGATAATTCAATTGGTGTCACCATTTTAGAACACCGACCTCGGTGGCTTGGACATGTACTACGAATGTCCTCCCAGCGAATTCCACATCGTGCATTATTTGCCGACGCTGGAACTGGTTGGAAAAAGCGGAGAGATGGTCAATGCATGACATGGTGCCGTAGTATGCAAGAGAGCTGTGCATGACTGGCTTCTGTTAACCCTTCATTACTCCGTGGTTGGGGTCCTAGAGATTATACATCACCTTGTTTTCAGATGTTATCAGACATGGTTCAGAATAGAAGCTAATAGAGATCCTTCTGTAACTTTCTTTTACTTTCCTCATAACAGTGAGAGTAACTTTAACTGAAAGAATCCTTTCTGGTTGTATTTTTGTTAACTGAAAAGCTTCCGCCGTTATTATTATTATCTCACTCTCATAAACTATTTTCTATTCATTGTTTTTTTTTATTGTACTCACTTTCCTTTCTCATTCTCTTCACAACCTCATTTTTATTGTTGGTGTATATATATTTTGGCTCCACCTTATATTAATGTTTATTTACTTAAATAATAATGATAATTGGTGTTTTATAGCATAGTCGTATAGTTTAAATTCTTAATCTTTAGTTGAAAACAAATCCAACTGCTTTCAGTCAGTAAAAATCTGCTAGTTGTCTAATCTTTAAGTATGTTGAAAGAGAGCTGAGGGTAGCCAAACCGAAACGTCACGTTAGTACATGAAGGCTTTAACTGTTGGACTAGGTCATGCAAGGAGATTCAGACTCTCAAGCTGAAATCCTCATGAGATAAATGGCTGAAACTCGTTTTCGGTGCTACAGATACACTAATTATTTGTCTTTTTCTAGATCTTGAGTTTCAATATTATATCATACTTTTTATTCCTCAATTTTATTTATTTCCCGAGCATGTTCTCCTTGATCGTTTTCACAGTTTTAAACATGTTTATTTGGATTCATTGTTATTCTCATCTCGGTCTGCTGAAATGGTATAGCAGCTTAGGCTAATGAACCTTTGTACCAGGTCCTACGTTGTTTTAACTGATCGAATTTCAAATTATACCAACTGTTATCCCTGAATATTTCTGTTCAACGAAGAAATGAGTGAATAGATTTTATAGTGTATCACATATAAAATACTCATTCCGTGCATTTATTTGACTAATCGTTTAATAAAAATGATATCTTTTTCTTCCTGTCACTAAGGTCCAGACATATAACTCAGTTAGTCAACTATACATGTTAGTTTTAGAACTTCGAACTTACGGTAATCTATAAATTGTATTTTTTTATTAATCAATGGATAAATGCTATTCAGTTAAACTTATTCGAAATCTAATTATTAGTCAGTGTAAGTAAAACCCATAAAAATTAATGTATTGGGATGCAGTTTCCGATCTATTTTTGTCGTATAATGAATTTCCATCTATCCTCTCGGCTTCTTTCTTTTCACCGAGTTATATCATGTATGTTTTATTCACGGTACTGCTGAAATGTTATTATTTTTTTACTTCAGATTCTTTACTACTTCGTAAGTTTATTCATATCGAATGGGTTAACAAAACAAGTTGCAAGCTATGCGAATCTTGGTACTGGAGTTACTATTCTAATTGGTTCATTGGCATCCATATTTATTATCGATCGGAAAGGCAGACGTCCTTTATTAATGTTTGGAATATCAGCTTGCCTTTTTAGCCTCTTACTATTCACTTTAACTTTGATTATTAAACAAGTGACTGAAATCAATAAACTCACAATTCTATCAATTGTATTGACATATACGTTTTTATTTGGATTTTCAGTGAGTTTAGGTAAGTCAGTAAGCAAGTATTTTGATTTCTGCATAGTTTTCCCATGTATGGTGACAGTATTACTGTGTATACTACTGTTGAAGAAGCAACTTTTCAATTATTGTATTATTTAACGTTGAGGCAGATAGTATCTATATTGAAATTGAGTGTACATTTTGCGTACTTGCATAATTTTTCTTTATTTTATTCATCGGTTACTAGTAAAGCAAATGCATTTTAAGTGAGTTGAGGCAATCGGTAGGAAACTATAGCCTAGTTTTTGAGTTAGTTGGCACTCGTCAGCAAGGCGTAACTGTAATCTTGAGGGTACTGATGCTTCCTATGGAGTTCAAACCTCCGTCACTCAGCACCACATCTTAATATGTTATTACTGAAATGTTCGAGTGGCGACCGACACTTAAAAGGACTACAGTATTTTCAGTTATTCTTCGCTAATTATTAGCCAATATCATGTTTTTTAGTTCTTGATAGACTAGTATTTGTTATAAGTAAAATTAGTTGATAATAACAGTCAGTTCGCGGATTGAACTACTTCTCAATATTACATCGAATAATGTTCAGGCATCTCAGAACAAATAACTGCATCATTTTGCCCCATCTTTTACACAGTATTAATTTTTCGAAATTTGACAACAAATTAGATAACTAAAATATCTGATAAAAATGCTATCAGGATTCAAACTTTATTTTTTAAACTGATGCATTATTTTTCATCTAGTGTTACAGTTTATTATTAAAATATTCTCTTGACTTTTAGGTGACCACTAAATTTTCTCTAGAAAGTCTCTAAACAGATATTGATGTCATTTAACTCTTCGATTTCCTTCCCTTGTGATAGCATCGGAAGCAATTATTGTCTAAACCTGTAGTCTTCGTACATTGTGGTATTTTCCAGTTTTCATGACTACAGCCGACGATCATCTGGAATCAATTAGATATGCTTGGATCGGTATAATTCAGCTAAAAGTCCCTTTAACTGAATATTCGTAAGCTTAAGAGTACATGAAGTTGTTTCGTAGAGATGGTAGCTTTTTTCATACTCAGATTATTTTCCGCATCGATCTTCCGGGAGTAGTAGCTGAAACTAAGTTTTTGAATCCATTTACATAAAACAGAGTAGCCGATAAGGACATCAAATTATACTTAAAAACAGGATGAATTTTCATCACTATCTTTCTGTGTCCCAGAAAATCACAACTGCGATTCGGTTGAATGGATCCCTTTCAGCATGAAAAATGATGCTGTCTCAATAAAAACTGAGTGCTCAATCTGTAAAAAGAGGAATACTGCTTACATAGAACCAAATTACTTTGCATTTAAGATCAGTTGAACGACCAAACTCGAGTTTTGTTTAAGTACATCATAAACACAGAATTCATCCATAATATTAATTAAACCCCTCAATACTTCTTTCTCATCCACTCTACAGCACAGACGTTGAGAGTCTCATTGTGCATTAAATGGCTCAGTTTCAGGAGATTAAAATACACATTTAGTAGTAGGCTTATATTGTTATCTCTAAATGAATATACAGATATTGAATTAAATGTATGAGAATGTGTTGGTAAAAATGAGAGATGAGGAGAAGGGAAATGAATATTGTTCAAAACAGATTGTCGTTGTACTGAAAGTTTGCATAGAAAATCAATACTTTATAAATACTAGTATCATAGAACTATCTATACTCCTAAGGAGACTGAAAGAGAAAATGTATCAACTAATGACGAGAGACTATAACACTCCAGACTCGATCATTTTATTTTTGCAAGTATTTAACAAATTATTATTATTCTCTATGAAAAATTAACACCGACATTGGGAAGTCATTACAAAATGTAAAATTTCCAGCTTTCTGTATGTTCCCAGATAACAGAATAAAGAAGCAATGTTGTTGAGAATCTTGTTGTTTACACTTATCGGTAAAGTTGGTTTTCATTATTGACTCAAATTCGAACTAGATGTAGGAGGACATATATTAATAAGTTTTACATGTGTCCCCCTGGTGGGCAACCTATGCTCCTCCACGAAGGGTAATGGGCGTAAGTAAGTGAGTAAACATATGTCTTTACTATTAGAAAATTGTACTAGTTATGAAACTTAGTTTCATACATTTGATTTTATGTTTAGACTATTACCTCTTAGCAATTGATACTGTTTAGAAACAGTACAATATTTCAGATAAAGTTGACTTTAAAAACCACCATTCCTTTTGAATTTCTTAAAAGATTCTTTCGAAAAAAACTATTTTAGGTTCTATTCCATGGTTTTTGGTTTCTGAATTGTTTACGCAAGAAAATCGTGATGCTGCTGTCTCTATTGCTGCAGCAACCAACTGGTTATGCAATGCTATTGTAGCATTAATATTCCCACAGTTGGTTGTAAGTTGAATCAGTCTAATTTCTGTTGTTATTTATGAGTAATCATAACGCTTTGTATACGTAATCTTTTTCTATGTTTATCAGTTGTAAATTTTTTTAATTATTTCGATTTTATTGTTTGTTTGTTTAAAGCATAAGATTAGTATTATATAAGTGTAGAGTAATGTAATGTACCACATAAGATGAAATTCTACATTATGGATGTACAAATAGGATAGGGTTTGAAATAAGAATTATCAGATAGACAGTTGTGATTTCATAACCACACTGGGCATGTAAAGAAAGTTAACCGGAAACTTGTGGCATTATAAGTCTTTTTCAAAATACATGACAGAAATGTTGTCTAACGGTCGTCCGATCCCGATACTGTTATGCACTCTCTCCATACGGCAGCCTAACTTGGTAGTTGAGTGAACAGACTAAGAATGAATCAGAAGTTGTATTGGGAATCCAAGTGAAAATGCACACAAACTTGATGATATATCAGTATAGGGTTGTGTGGATTATTGAGTTTCACTGAGATTATAAACCGATCGATGTTAGATCACTATTGGAAATCTGGATGCACCGGACAACTTATTCGTCCTTGTATTGGACTCCTTAGCAGTATACATCCATAATTCCGCACGCGGGACTCAAACTCAGGACCTTTGGTTTCGCGCGAACGCTTAACCTTTCGACCGCTGAGCTGACACTCACCGGTATTAATGTCTAAATTCAGTCAATCCATTATATTGCGTGACCATCTTCCATTGTTCTCGATGAGTAACTTCCTCACAACCAAAACGGTTTAACTCCACTGGTTGCGGCTTCTCACTAGAACTCTGAGAATTGCCTCTCGAAGTTAGTGACTAGTAAGCACATCATGATTATCAGTATAGGGTTGTGTATATGTATACATGTATCACTCAGATAATGTAGCCAAAGCCCGCCCAGCAACGTTGATCCATCAACGTCTCTCACCTATTATTTGGCCTTGAACTAGCATGTGCTGCGTCTGTACCTGCCTAGCCTACCATTCCTACATTTTGGAGCTGAGCTACAAAATTTGAGGCGAGAACACATCGCATACCCTGTTGAAAAATATGCCGACAAGTATGTTTATAAATAGGTTTTTACAATTATAGTTTGCGTTTTTTAAAGTCTCCCATTAACTCAATGTCCAAATATTATGCAACTTTTAGTTCGAATATATATATATCAATGTGGTTTTTAAGAACTTTTGTCGAAATTCGAACTAATAGTTGCATAATATTTGGGCATTGAGTCAATGGAAGATTTTAAAAACGGAAACTATAATTGTAAAAACCTCAGCAGTTGAAGTCGAAATAACCCAAACATTCCGCCCAACAGTTTGGAAAATAATCATACATAAAAGTTATCAAATACAAATATATGGTTCAAAAATTCTACAGCCAGCATTATTAACATGGTTGAACGATATGTTTAGCATACAGTTAATTTGTGAACCATCTATCTGCGTTCGATCATTTTAATGTATGCTTCGACACACGTATCTGCTACTTTCATAAACCATGTTTTATAGCCATAAAGTAGGATACGGCCAACTGCTGGGAAGTGTACTCATCTTTTGGTTAGCATATGGACACTCCCTACCCCACAATTGACTCCAGTTGTCGAAAGCAAACGGGGATTTCTGAATTCGTGACAAGATTTCTCCAGACACCAACCCATTAGAACTGATGAGACTCCCAAGATAAGTGGAATGACCGACAATAAACTATTTCACTTCCAATCATTAGTTTAAATGCTAACAATGACCAATTCTGAAGAATCATTTTGCATTTAGAAGGAGAAAAACCCTTTCCAAATGTGCTTGCATTGCTGTTTGAGTTTATCAAAATACTTTTGATGTTTTCAATGTTGTAATTCTTATCCAAACTTCAGTTGTAACATAATTCTTATTCAAACAACGAACTAGTTTTAGTTATCGTCTTTCACAGTGTTACTGTTATGATTAGAATTCAAATATATCTTTTCAACGAGAAAATTCATGTCGTTCCATTGATCTAGACTGATAAACTATCGCCCAATCAGATTTTGCTAAACGCTAGAACTTTATCTATCATGCTATTGCGTTCGATTATTTCATATAGTCCGGTTGTAACAATTTTGCAATTATTAGTAAGGTTCAGTCGATGTTACTTACTGGAGTCTATGTAACAACTGACTATTTTGTAGTTTTTTTGCGTACTTTAAAATCATAAGTTTTCTCTGAATATTTGATGGCCAACTGGGCTAACTTCTGTACTATTGTTCGTTGTGAAAATAGTTCACATGTCCTTACACTGTATGGTCTACTTATAAAGGGATTTCGATTTTCGTGAAATTAACAGCATTCAAATTCACCAGTCAAGTTTTAATAAAGTTTGCTATTCCCACGGATTGGTTGATTTCTCTGGAAACATTTCAGATCACAGATTCAAAACTTTGTTTCCCACTTAAGAAAGTTTGGATGACCTAGTACAGCTTTTAGTTTCTACAATAGATGCGCTTAACATCTCATATACATATTGAGTCTCATTTTTCTATTTACCCGTAGAGCCAGTTGATTAAGAAGTTTTGATAAGTAGTCACTATATTAAAGAAAGCTAAGATAAACTCTAACTAGTTAGATGACAGCGATCACGGAATAATGTTTCGTTGTTACAAACGTAACGAGTTTACCTCTATTTCAATTTACTTTATGCTTATTATAGATGGTTGCAGTGAGTTGAAAGCACCAAACCAGTTTAAATAACTGTTTTGGACTTAGTTTTCAGCACTCGCTCGATTATTGCCATATGAAATTTAGGTAACAACTGAATTGATTAGTGTTTGTGTGGTATATTTAGCTTTCTGGTTCTAGTTATCAAATAAAATGTCTAATTAATAAATGCACATATTCAAGTGATACTTTTTACATTAGGTACCACTGTCAGACCTTGCAAATATCATTTAAATAAGATTTTTATGACGATAACTTTTTACTGAAGCATTGGATTACAAACATAGGAAATCACACTACAAGATATCAAGTTTTCGCTACAGTCGGATATCAGTTAGAGAACCACTGAAAATTAACAACTATTTGCTTCTAATTTCAAACTTTTCAACTGTCTGCAACTACAACACAATAATATAACCGGAACCCCATCACGAACCGACTAAAGTTGGAAATACGGACCACTGGATTCATAGATGTTTAAAAGTGCCACACTCACTACAAGACCAGAATGCCCCAGGTTCTAGCCCATGTAAAGCCGTTATTATACACTTCTAATGAATTACAGACTTCCACAAAGCAGTATCTTAGTATCCTTTAGTTCTTAGTAGTCCTCTACTTACTAATATTGAATAACTGTGTGCAACTTATCAGTTACCTGATAATTAATCTGTGCTAGAAACTAAGATCATAAACTGATCAATAGTGTTGCATTTCACCCTGTTTTATCGGATAATGTTAAAAATTTCTTCATTGCTTCACTCAATTCGATAAGCTTTTCATTAGGGTGTGCTTCTTAATTACAAAACCAAATTTTGACATAATTATTTTTCCTAAAAAGCTACTATGAAGTCCACTTTTTTATTAACCTAGACTAATACTCCGCTATGGAGGATTTAATTTTGTATTGAAAATTTTCAGGTCTTAATTAAATATTTCTTGACTTATTATTATTATTGTTATTATTATTATTATTGCCTTCCAAAATAACACTTACGCAACTAAGCTTCAACTGACTCATGATCTTAACCATTGAAATTACCATAATATCCACAAAACCCATCCGATAAGATTACATTGTTATTTAACGGAATAACCTTTATTCCTAATTAAATTATAAAGAAAGAATCCTGTACACAACAATGACGAGGAAAATGTGATCGGAATTCAATAGTTAATTTAACATTTTTTCAGCATATTTCTGGTGTTTTGTTTTAATTAATAATATTGATCAACTGTCTTATAGTTCAAAGTATCTGTACATACTTTTTTATATCTTAAAACAACAAAGAACACACACATAATAAGAGTAAAGGTAGCTAACACTGTAAATTTCATTATTCACTCACAAACACTAATTATCATCTGTTAATACAAGGTAATGATTTTTCGTTTAGACAAGTAAATAAATCACTTTAAAGTTTTGTGCAGATTACAGAATTTTCTTATTTTTTTAGATCATGAACTAATCTTAGCTAAACTACCAAAAAACACTAAACAACTGTTTTGTTCTAGTATGGGACTCAACAGTGCTAATGCATAACCCTATGTTGATAATAATCATATGTTTACTGGTAAGTAGCTTTAAGATACAACTCCTGGAGTTCTAGTGGGAAACCCTAACCAGTGGAGTTCAACCATGACGGGTGTGAGACAGTTATCTACCATAAGCAACTCAAGATAATGGCTAATTGTTTGAAGCTAGATATGTAAAGCATTGGATGTTGTATCTGTGTTCTGAAGGTTAAGCGTTAGATGCAAGACTGAAGCTGAGTTTAATTCCTTGTGGTGAGGTTGTGGGTGCACACTTTCGAGGAGTCCCATACTAGGACGAACCAGCTGTCTAGTGCTTCCTGGTTTTCACCAGTGGTCTAGCAAATATTAGTTCATGATTTAAAACCATGAAACATATGTGTTAGGACTAATATAGCTGTTGACAGATCAAACAATATTATTATTACTTACTACCAGACGTTATTTACCTAACTTTATTCATAAGCATAATGATAGCATGATGTTATGAATATATATATATATATATATATATATATATATATATATAGATAGATAGATAGATAGATAGATAGATAGATAGATAGATAGATAGATAGATAGATAGATAGATAGATAGATAGATAGATAGATAGATAGATAGATAGATAGATAGATAGCTAGATAGATAGATAGATAGATAGATAGATAGATAGATAGATAGATAGATAGATAGATAGATAGATAGATAGATAGATAGATAGATAGATAGATAGATAGATAGATAGATAGATAGCTAGATAGATAGATAGATAGATAGATAGATATAGATAGATAGATAGATAGATAGATAGATAGATAGATAGATAGATAGATAGATAGGATAGATAGATAGATAGATAGATAGATAGATAGATAGATAGATAGATAGATAGATAGATAGATAGATAGATAGATAGATAGAAGATAGATAGATAGATAGATAGATAGATAGATAGATAGATAGATAGATAGATAGATAGTAGATAGATAGATAGATAGATAGATAGATAGATAGATAGATAGATAGATAGATAGATATAGATATAGATATAGATATAGATATGTTAAACACTAATAATTAAAAATTAAGGTGCACGCAATGTTCGAGTAGTATGTGCGTCTAGATAGTTATGTTGAATGTTGGTACTATAGAGTGATCTATTTTTGTATAGCAAATAACCATAGCTTATATCAATCTAGGCAACCTTTAGGATGACCAAGATGCTAGATTGATCAGAAATAATTGAATTTACAACGTATCGTTCCCAGTAATTTTGTACTAGGTTTGAAAATATTAGTCTGTTCAAAATAAGGATATTTAGCAACTCTGTATTCCATGGTCATCTCTAAATGATCGCTTATTTTAAGTAGTAACTTTGTATCGCTCTTACCGATGGCCGGTGAAGTATGTTGAGTCATAGTGGAGATGGTAACCCACTATATGTTATCATCTTGAACAGATCAATAAATAAATCAGTATTCAATATTTAAAAGATGATCAAGAGTTAATCCATTTAGGTCACAACCATAGATTGTAGTAGTATGATCGACTCCAAACTAAAAATACCTTATCTCTCTTCACAAGGATCATGTCAACATTTTATGACTTAGTAAATTAATGTCATATCTTGATTTGACTTGTTCATTTTTTTAATCTGTTTTTATGAAGGTCACTATAATACATCGGCAGATGTTGATTAGTTATATTTCCAACAACTTCAGTCAGTGAAGGTTGACACCTTTGCTAAATGGTTTACCACCTTTTATCCCTAGTACTTAATGCCTAGTATTACCCAAAATTGTCCACTTACTTGTTCTGTAGCACATAAAAAATAGATAAAATGTCAGTAAATCATCACCTTCAGCGACAATCTGTTGAACTTATGTTATGATAGATTGGAGATTTTATATACTAAACACTCATAATGCTGATACAACCAGTGGTAATCTAGACTAACCCACATGTGCTCTAGGTCCTACGTTGTTTATTTGAATATTTCTATTTGCTAATTTATCTGAAAATGGAATTATGCATTCAATTATATTTTAAGATGTCCGGTCTTCTATTTGTGAAATAAAAAATGAGTAGCTTTTTCAATGTTTTGATCTTATCTATTTAATTTCTTGTGTTTTCCTTTTTTCTTCACAGATCTATATTAATATTTATGCTTTTATACCGTTTATATGTGTATTGTTGGCTGTATTAATATTTGTCGGATTGTATCTACCTGAAACGAAAGGAAAAACGCCAGCTTCCATCGAAGCTTACTTTATGCGTCTTTGTGGTTTCCGTGGGACAGAAGTACATGAAAATCCAACGTTTGCAGATATAATAGATGATACAAGTAAGTCTATTTAAGCATAATTGTCATCAGTTGTCAGAAAGGCTTGAGTCATGTTTTTGTACTAGTTAGCACATGTTAATAAACAATATTCGGAATATTAGGGAAACTTGTACTCCTCATAGTATTCAGACCCACATTTTCTAATGTCACAATCAGTGACGACATTTAAGTTTGTGCCGATAATGTCGTTCAGAAGAACAATGAAAGCTCCACGACCAAACCATCCAGCTCAGAGAACAAAACTCCATCAAAATCATCCACCTGAGTTACAAATCTCCACCATCTCAGTGTCAATACTTGCCCATATATATCAGAGCAATTGGAGTTTTCGTAAATATAAGTGATTTGAGTATTTTAAGAGCATTCTAATGTTTCATTCTACTTATGAATCACACTATATCAATGAAGATTAGTTTCATCCAACAATCTTCGCTTTCCGACAAAATTCACATTGTTACTTCTGCAGTACACATTTATGCGAACTAAGCCACATTGTTCTAGAAATTCTCATTGATATCCATAATTTAGTGTGTTTATTAATTTTTCTAAGTACGTTTATCCAAGATACTTTTATTCTGTCATGCTTTTGAAAAATATGTTCTCAGAGATAGAGCAACCGTATATGATCAATTTATTCGCGTGTTTATGTTCTAATATAACTGATAGTTATTCTTTAGAGATGATGTATCCTAAATAATGTAAAACTTAATATTCTGGTCTTATTTCATCTGATGCTTTAAATATCTTTCGTTTGACTTACATTAATTATGCATCGAGCCTACTAGAGATCTAATCCAATTTTCATGCAAATCTGATTGTTCCTACCTACTGAGGTTAAATATTTTAAAATCTCTCCAAAAGACCATGTTATCGTTATTATGCATATAAAACGTATTACCTTTGCGCATCGAATTGCACCGATATTCAAAAAAACTATGAACTTTGTTTCTTTCATATGTCCTCACCTGTTGATTGCTTATCGTATCAGATTATTACGCGTATACCATGGTCAATGGTCAAAGCACTTTAAAGTTTACCTTTTTTCATGATTTGTACAGTCAAATCTCAAACAAACCAACATTTCTTTTCCTGATCTAGTCAACAATCTGAAATGTTTTTTCTGTCTTAAAAATGTATTATGATAACACAAGTAACGGTCATGGGTTATTTTTTATCCAAATATTACTTTATAGCTCGACGATTTATTATTGTAGAAACACTTAAATTTCATGGTTAATATTACGAACTGATCTTAATTACCTACGTAAAACCAAGAAGCACTTGGCAGTTGTTTCGTCCGTGTATGTAAATCTTCGGGAGTGGGCTTCCACTGTCCCCCCAAACACTGAACGCAAGATCTTATCCTTCAGACCAGTGATCCAGTAGTTAGATTCATTCGATTCACGATATCGCAGAACCATCTCCCACTGTCATTGATCAGTAACTGTCTCACACTCAACATAGTTGACCTCCTCTGGTCATGGTGCCCTCAAAATCTCCTGTACGGCCGAGGGGAGGAGATTCCGCTCTCCCTCTCGAAATGCTCTCATATGGCCATGTGTATACAGTTACTACCATGGAAGTCCTACTCAATGCCTTGTGGGTCAGACCTTTAGGTCAAAGGCTCGGGGTGTGGTCCCCTAAGAAAACCACCTGCTTCGGTCCGGGCACCCGAGCAGTATCACAGCCCACACATATAAATATGATGGAATGTCGATATTTATGGAAAATACTTGTCTTGCTTCAATTAACAATCAAACGATTCACATTATTATTACTATTATCATTATTATTTACGTCATTTATTCACTCTTTTTTATTCCCACTCTGTGTATCTTTATTTTTCGACTTATACAGCAGCTCGCCTATGGCGGAAACTCGATTCTATCTAAACGTTCTCGAGTCGCTGCCTGGTTGAAAATTGTACGCTACCACCAAATACGAATACTGAAGCAGTTTTTCTGAAATCACGTGAACCATCCAAACTAGCTGCCTTCAATTTTCGCACACTTATGCAGGTCAGACAACAGATAGGGCTGGCTATGTCTCTGAAAAGTCTTAATATCGATGTTTGTTGTCTGTCCGAGACCCGTATTCAAGACTCTAGCGAAGTACTACAAATTCGCTCTCCATCTGTCGCTTCAAAAAGCTTGTTTTACGTGCGTTTATCCGGGGACCCTGTGGCGTCTTCGTCTGGTTTTGCCGGCATCGGTGTCTCACTAGGCGCCAGAGTTGAGGCAGCACTAATCGATCGGATCCCCATTAACAGTCGGTTATGTGCTGTTAGATTAGAAAGTTCCATCAAAGTGAGAAATGATGTCTTTTCGTCATCTCCGCCTATGCCATGACAGATTGCAGCCTGGATACAATGAAGGATGAATTCTACTATCAGTTAACTGTTCTTCTCCAGAAAGTGCGTTCGACAGACATTGTAGTATTAGCAGGAGACTTGAGTGCTCAGGTCGGGCGTCTAGGCACAGAAGAGAGTCGTTTAGGTGGCCGATGGGGACTCGTTGGTTGCAGGTCAGATAACGGGGACCGTCTACTGCAACTGTGCACAGACCACAACCTGTTTCTGGCTAGCACTAACTTTCGGCACAGTCATCGCTGATGTGCCACCTGGCGTCCTCCCTCTGCATCTCAAGCCTGGACTCAGATTAATCACATCGCGATCAGCTACCGCTGGCGTGGTTGTGTACAAGACTGTCGCTCCTTTTGGAGTACCTATCTGGACTCTGACCATGCTTTGGTCTGCGCCAATCTTACCTTACGTTTCAGTGGCCAACGAAGTGACCGCCACCAGCGGATTGATGTTAGCAAGCTGGTTGCAACTTCTGTTGCTAGTAAGTATCGAACCGAGCTAACCCATCGGTCTACTCCGGATGACCGTGAGTTTGACCACAAACGAAGGGTGTTACGTAATGAAATTGGGCAAAGCTTGCGTAAGGACCGAGAAGCCTGGTGGTCGAAGCGTGCTAATGAGTTGGAAGCAGCAGCTGCATCTGGTAATTACCGGAAGCTCTTCCAGCTCATCCGAGCCACTGGCAGCAAGAAGTCTGGTGTGAGCGAAACAATCTGTGAGGATGACGGGATGCCAATCACTAACGTCCATCGACGTCTTGGACGATGAGCGGAATTCTTCGAAGGGCAGTTCAACTGGCCTGGTACTCCGGCAACATCGGTCAGACTGTCCTGCCTCCATGGCCGGTGACGGCTGATCCACCAAATGAAGTCCTTAAGGAACTCCAACTCTTGAAGCGTTACAAACCACCGGGACCAGGTGAATTACCTCCGGCTCTTTTTAAAGATGGTGGTGACTTTCTGGCTAAGGAACTGATTGTGTTGTTTACAAAGGTCTGAGAACTAGAGAGTTTACCAACGTCATTGAATGAGTCGATAGTTGTCCCTATCTTTAAAAAGGGTTCACGTCGTTCCTGTAACAACTATTGGCTTCCGTTATACTTCGTAGGTTGTTCAAAACCCGAGAAAGATTGATTCGCGTGGAGCAGACTGGGTTTCGTTCTGGTGGAGGATGTATTGATCATATTTTCACCCTCCGCCAAATGTTAGAACACCGCCATACTTATCAAAGGCCAACAATCGTAGTGTTTCTTGACATTAGGGCTGCCTTCGATTCGTTGGACAGGACTGTTCTCTGGGATTGTCTATTGAAGAAGGGTGTGCCTGAGAAGTTTATTAACATTTTAAAGTCCCTATATACAAACACCTCAGGTAGAGTGAGGGCATACAACCATCTTTCTCCATTGTTCCATTCGAGCAGTGGGGTTAGGCAGGGTTGCCCAATCTCACCATTCCTCTTCAACTTTGCCATCGATGACATTCTGGAAACAGCTCTGATGGATGTAAGTAATGGCGGTGTGAATCTGTTGCCTGGAGGAAGACTTCTGGACCTTGAGTATGCGGATGCTATTGCCTTACTGTGCGACAATGCCCAAGCCATGCAATCCGCACTTAATCAGTTGGCAATCAGTGTCCGTAGGTATGGTATGTGCTTTGCACCTTCGAAGTGCAAAGTACTTTTACAAGACTGGCAGGATTCTAATCCTGTGCTCACCCTGGATGGTGAGCAGATAGAAGTAGTCGAAAAGTTCATGTATATAGGTAGCTGAATAAGTGCTGGTGATGGTGTGAGTGATGAGATCAATACACGTATAGCGAAAGCCAGAGTGGCTTATGCCAATCTGGGCCATCTTTGGCGCCTTCGTGATGTTAGTCTGGCTGTAAAAGGTCGGATCTACAACGCGTCGGTAAGAGCAGTTTTGCTCTATGCTTGTGAAACCTGGCCTCTCCGAGTTGAGGATGTTAGACGACTCTCTGTGTTCGATCATCGCTATCTCCGAAGGATTGCTGACATCCAGTGGCAACACCGTGTTAGTAATGCAGAGGTTTGGCATCGTGTGTTCGGGCACAGAGACGATAATGCAATTGGTGTCACCATCTTGAAACACCGACCTCGGTGGCTTGGACATGTTCTACGAATGTCGTTCCAGAGAACTCCACATCGTGCATTATTTGTCGACGCTGGGACTGGTTGGAAAAAGCGGAGAGGTGGTCAGTGTATGACGTGGTGTCGTGGTATAAAAGAAAGCTGCAAAGGGCTGGCTTCTGTTGGTCCTTCACGACTCCCTGGCTGGGGTCCGAAAGATGGTGCAACACAGTGGCTAGAGACGTTATCGGATATGGCTCAGAATAGAAGCCAGTGGCGATCCTGCTGTAACCTTTTACTTTCTTCATAAAAGTGGTTGTTTCTTCCTTAACTGAAAGATTTCTTTTGGTTCTACCTTTTCGTCTCCCCCATTATTATTACACTACCTTACACTAATCTGTGGTTGTTATTGTTCTTTCTTTTCTTTTACGCCCCTTATCTTCCTTTTTCTTCTCTTCCCATTCTCATTGTTTTGTGTGGCGCATATATATTTGATGTCCTCTTGTACCAATATTTATGTGTTCAAATAAATAAATAAATTTCTCACTAAAACTATGAGAATTACCTAACAAAATTAGTCACCTGATTATTATTACTATGTAGGGAATTTGTGGAGATTGTTCAGTGTGATAGTTAACATCACTAACTGATTTTAGTTGAACAACTATTTAGATTTCAAGTTATCTGTTTCATATTCCCAATGAGGTTTATTTACCAGTGGGATAACTAAATATCTAAGTTTGTTTATTCTACACCTTGTATAATTTTTAGGTTAATGTACAAATATGTCTTGTGGATGTTATTGTTATCATTAATCTGTCCATTCATTTATATCTCAATCATTTCTTTTTGTGATTTTCAACCATTGATTCACAAGTTCCTACTCTGTGTTCTTCATTCTACTTCAGTTTAGGACAATTACATAGTATTTTTTTACTCAGCTAGCTCTCATACAAATCATGTAATCAAAAGCTCTGACTACATGAGGATTGTATTTGGTTATCGTGTACAGTCGTATTACCTTTTTTTTATCAGAGTCTTCAAAAAATAATGATTAATTGAAGTGTGTAATTATTGGATTTAAATGTCACTACTCTGTTGTTATTGATTAAGATCTCATAGTTTTTCAGTGAAATACTTATTGATTCGTGCAATTCTTGTGCTTTTTTATGTATTTTTTTCAGCACAAGCTTAGTTTGGTAACGGTGGCACTGATGATTTAGTTCACAATTCACTTTGACAAGAATATTATATATAAATTAATCCTTATTCATATCGTGTACTATTACCACTATAAATTTTATATACCATTATTTTTTTGGATATTATGCCTCTCCTGTATATACATATACAAGATTGCCAAATGTTCTCACACAGTTCTATTTTCTGCATACATTATGTCAGTATGTGTGACTATTCTCTTCTTTTGAATTTTTGTCTAAGTTCATTGATTCATTCTAATATCTTATCGTTATCTATCTAGTTGTTATTTTCTATTTAAGGTTTATCTTATTATTTAAAACTATTACATTATGTCTATCTCATTTGTATTCATTGACTTTTCTTCTTGAAATCTTTATAGTTTTCTTGGTGTTTTTTTGTTCCATTTCTCTAATGTCTAAAAAATTTTTTCATTTACCCTTGGATTTTCTTTTAATGTATAAGATAATATTAAATTTTAATGATATATTAAAATATTACTTATTTTTCTTTATTTTCTTTTGTTCCGATATTAAACATACAACAAGCATATCAATAATATTTCTAATTTATTTCTTTCTGTGAATTACCAAATCATAGCTGATAACTGTGTTTGTTTTTTTCGGGCGCTCGTTTTGTATTCTCTTATTTTCACTGAAGTAAAACATACTCTTTCTGTCATCAAAAGTCTGTTGTATTGTTTTAGAATTCAAAGTTGTGAATATTGAGCTTTCATATATATATATATATATATATATATATATATATATATATATATATATATATATATATATATATATATTACAGAAAAGAGAGCACATTATTATTTAACTGTTTATACGGAAACCAGTAGTCACTGTTCAATGTCAAATAGTTTTTGAGTATTTTCACTAGATAATATCAATCCATAATGATAAACCATTTTTGAATTATATTAATTTTCACTAATAGTTTATCCAGATTGTAATATTTTACTCTTTAAGGACTAGTTCTAAAGTGAATTTCAAAAAGTTCGAATGGAAGTCGACCAAATTAGATGTGGTAAACCATTTATCTACTAATACGGATCATATTTACTTAGCAGATTGAGAAAAGTTAAGAAATGATATCATGTTCTTCATAAAACTTGAAGGAACTGGGTTCAATGCTTTACAGGTTATTGGGTATACATTACTATGAGGTTCCAAACTACAATGGAATGGCTATCCTGTACTTCATAGTTTTAAAGGTTTGTCCAGTTTGGTGTCGGTCTGATGCTAACTATTCGGGTTCATGAGACGTTATTCCTGGTCTCCCAAAATCGTAATGTAAACTGCATGTTTGAACCTTGTGTTAAATAGAACAGCAGGTTTTCTTAGATAAAACTCTAGAATCTCTTGATATCTAAATAAGGTTTCTCCGAAACACACATATGGGATTTAAGTGTCGTAATTCACTGGATTGTATACCATTAGGTTTAAAAGCAAAACAGACTGGATCCCAATGGACAATCATTTATACACAATCTGAGTAAATGAGGGGTTAAGAACACGGAGAGTTAGGGATATACTCAGATAACTTTCTATTAACTCCTAGGCTCCCAATAACTACTGTTCAAATGAGTCGTATAGTAAGCTTTCTGCTTTCCTAAGAAAGGCAAACCCTCAGATGTAACCGTAGAAGAAGGTTTTGCTGCTAAAGTAGATAGTCTAAACCGAAGTGAAAGATTTTAGGTGGCCTTACAGTGTTCCAGCTCAATGAACAGACAACGGCAGCTGTTTGATTCACCGATAATCAGACAACCTTTAATTCTTAACAATCACCAAATTTAAGCCTAAAGATATCGTCCTACCTGGGGACCCCCACAGTCAACTCAATGTTGGGTGCAAATAGACTGTGTCGTCCTCAGCCGTCGTTGGAGAGGTTAGAGAGAAGACTATTGGTCATTCTGAAGCATATTTCTAGACTAATCATGCTCTAGTACAGACACATGTTTCTTATTGGATGCAGAGAAGTCAGCAAGAAAACCTTGAGATTAGCTCAACGATTAGAAAAAATCAAGAGTGTATTTCAACAACTAGAAAAGCAGTTAGTCACCCAAGTTATGTTCAAACCAATGTATGTTGGGATAGCTGCTGGAACAGGAGTGATATCCACCACTTTATAGGCAAACGATGAAGAGCCAGTGGATTTCAGCGGCGTCCGTTGGACTGATAGAGACTAGTGAACTCATCCCGACAAACTCAGAATACGATGGGGAGAGAAGGTAACTTAAACGTAAAAGTGACAAATTCTACTCCCAACCCAGGAGATTGAAACTATAAGTGGGAAATTGTGAAGAATAGTTCAACTGCTCTCGAATTACTTCTCAGTTGCGTAATGTTGCCAAACAACCTGAATGGGATATGAATACAGACCCCATAAATCTTGATAAAACTGAAAAAGCCATAGCTAAGGCGAGGGAGTGCAGCCAACCTGGTGACCTTTCAGGATTACAGTTCAGTTCTAATTATTAGATTGACTGAAATACTATTTGAAATCTGGGAACTGGACTTGATTGATGTTTGTCCTGGTCTGTAATGAAGAATAAAAATACTCTTGTGACAGTCACAAAGGAGTACATTTGACTAATATATTATCCGAAATATTAGCCTCAATAATCTTCCGACGCTTAACTAGGGCTCATGAAGGGGAAACCAGGTTAGTTTCTGACTTGAAATTGGATGGGTAGATACTGATAAAGTGCAGAGTATTCTAACAATCTTAAGCAACCACACAACCATGTTTGGAATGAGTTTGTCTCCCTCTAAATGCAAAATGTCGCCTTCGGACTGGCTTACGTCACGACCTGAACAAATGATATGGAGTGAAGTAGTTGAATGTATTGACCTATTCACTTATCTTGAAAGTCTCATCAGCTATAGTGATTTGGCGTCTAATGCAATTTCATTGTGAACTCAGAAATCTCGGTTTGACCTTCACCAATTTAAATCACGTATACGGTAGGGAACATGTCCATCTGCTAACCAAAAGACAAGTGTACTACTCAGAGATTTCATCCGTTATATTTCATGGTTTGTAGAAATAGGTATTCGTAGGTTACTAGTATCCGATCGTAGATACCTTCGAAGCATTACTTGTATATGTTGAGACCATCGTGAGGTTAGATACAGTGCACTGGGTAAAGACATTGAATCGATTGATGAAGTAGTGAACCTTGACCAGCCAATATGGTTGGAACATGAATTATATATCCCCATCCACCGCCTACTTTGATACACATTACTGTCCGATGTGTGGGTAGGTTGCTAGAAAGCTAAGAGCGGACAAACCAAGACATGGCATCAGTCCAAGAAGTTACTGGCTATTGGACTATTACTTTACTGTTTTGGAATTTACCTTGACCATTTCATCTCACTGTTGATATAGTGTGACAATTCACAGGTATGCCAGCTTCTGCGTTGCATATGACTTACTGTTAGTCCATAATGAAAAACGTCTTTAAACCAACATTTTCTCCATTATAATCGGATTAAATCAATATATATGCAGAATAAGCTTAATGATTTTCCGGTCGGATAAAACTTAATTAACCTACACTATTATATAGATTAGAATATGTTGTCAAAGGATTTATTGTACTCTCACATCTTTATTCTAGTCTATCAAATGTACTTAATTTTTATTGATATCTTTACTTAGTTCCTTTCCATATTCATATGGTGTGTAAAAATGGTTTAGTCTGTTAGCTACCATCAAAATTTCAGTGATTTACAAATGACCTACAAACCATGTATCTTACTATCACTTATGTTTTAAATGACTTCAAATCCATATTTAATATGTTACATATATGTGTATCATTTCACTGGAAAAAAGCAACTTTTCACTATATTTATCTTACGATATTCGTTCATCAGTTCAATTGAAGCGATTAACTGACATTTGAACTCACGTTGTAGTGAACGAGGACAGCTGTGGGGACAACTGAATGTATTTGAATACAAAATTACAGAATCTCTTAGTAAAATCTGAGAACTATATAGTAAACACTTCATTTGTAAAATGCCCATCAATTGTCTCAAACTTGATTGTTCTTTCGTTTTCACACTAATCATTTTCTGTTATCGGTCTCTTCTCTTCACTCTTCTTAACCTTCTGCCATCAGGCACTTCGCTTGCAATTGATGATACATACTACTTATATCTGTCGACATCAGTAGCACACACCAAGTCATCTCAAAGCTCATTCACACATAGATGTATACCATTTTTATTATCGAGATAAATATATCAAACGAAATTCAAGCGATCTAACGTATTCTTTAATAGTATGAATCTGTCATTTTTTACAATTTTTCGAGTGTATTTATCAAACAGTTCTATGTGCTGTGACATGCACGTTTATGGCTTGTGCTTCGTCAACTTAAACTAAAGTTCTACTTCATGAACATAACAAACTAGGAGAGAAAAGGCGATTGTAAAAGAAAATAATTCATGTGTATCAAACACATCGTTATTATCTCCAAGTGATCTTGTATAATGCACAGAAAAATGTCCATCCACTAATAGTTCACGACAGGACAGAAAACAAACTGAAGATATGATGGACAATTAACTTAAGACCTTGAATAGTTTGAGACACAATTTGATAGCCTGTCTCTTCTTTGACTCAAATTTATTCCCAATAATGAAAGTATTCTGCCATTGTTTATACAAAGGTCCAGGTTTGTCAGTGTTTGATGCCGTATTCAGCTTGTATTGGTATTTTCATAAAATATATGCAGTTTGAAAATAATCTATTATATTTGTTATAGTTTATATTGTCTCATACATCATAATTCACCTTTGGATCCTATCGTTATATGTAAGTGAATTGTCGTTCTTATTTATGGACAAGTCATAAGACTTGTGCTTATCAGGGAATATATGAAGTTGGCTTAGCAGTCTTAGGTATGCCAACAAACGTAAGACGATGTTTACGTGGGATTGAATGCACTTTCTGTCACAGTTGGTTTTGGACGTGATAACATATTAGTTAATATACGCGCTTAGTTGTGCCAAATTGTGAAGCGTGTCAACAAGCATAAAATGTTGCGTGTCCGGTTTGTTACTATATGTTTCCAACGCAATGATTTAAAACAAGAAGGTTATGTTCTGTTTTTATAACTGTATACATTTTCGATGGTG